TTGAACTGATGGTAAAACTAATGACATTATTTACTGTCTTTACATTTATTTTGAAAGATGAAGCTGGCGATTATGGTAAGGGGCGTTACATTTCTGACGAGTGCTTGCGGTGTTCGGCCAATCACAATGCACTGGGTCAGCTGGCCAATCAGAGCAGACTGCGCTTGTCGGAAGGAGGGACTTTGTAGAAAACGAAGCGTTTGAGAGAGGCGGGGCATAGAGGACCTACAATAATGTACAGTATTTGAAAAATAATGTGTTTTTTGAACATTAAAGCATGTCAACATATTCTGTTACACCAAATACACAAAATAATGATCTTTAAAAAAAGCATCATATGACCCCTTTAAGTGCACATTCTATACAATTAAGCACACTTCTTTTTCACAAGAGTATAGGAAGCTCACCATCACGATTTGTGTCCATCTGGCGGAAGATCTTATCCGTGCGTTTCTCAGGTGTGGACTCGTCCTCTGGCATCTTCATCACTGAAGAAACCATCTTATAGATGGCCTGAGGAAGACAGGTTTCAGCTTTAGAAAAGGTATTACCTCACAAAAAACATGATGTTGTTCAACAAGTGAAAAATTCGACTCATACAGAACAAGACAGAATCTCTGTTCCACAACCTAGTGAGCTTCCTTGTTGTTTACTGCTGCCTACAAAGGCAGCAAACCACTAAGTGTCCTCCCTGTTGCTGTGAGCTGTCGAACAAGAGATTCGACTCTCGGTTTATTTCATTTGGTTTTAGCATGTCGCTAAGATAACAACACAGTACTTTAACTAGCATAACTACATTTATAATGGCCTTTTTATTCCATGATGGAATATTCTGTAATCTTGGATGATTCTGAACTCACTGCAGTGCATTCTGGGATTGGGAAATAATGCATGCAGTGCTGCTTTAGAATCTTCTAGCAGTAGGGTTTTAGAATTGCTATCTTTTGGTTTGGGAGTGCAGCTAAGATGCTGTTAAGGTCTAAGCAGGCAGTGAATCTTATTAGAGAGAATTAGAGGACTCTGGGTATGATTTAGAATTGGAGCGGTCACTTCCTAACTTTTTCAAAGTAACCATAACAACTGCTTTTCCCAGAGAACTGAACGAACTGAAAAGAAAATTACAGCCATTTGCTTGCACTCAGCTGTCAGATTCAGAGAGTGCATTTCACCAATTGCTCCAATAGCATGAAATTTACCTAAATATGAGCAAAAGGTAATTGGCTGCTGCACTCAACTCTCCCTAATTGAGCAAAACATCATGCGCAACTGAAAACTGATAATTTTCTGGTCTAAAAAACAGGATAATAAGGCACAAGCCTAAAATCAGACATTTCCTGGAAGCATGTTGATAGTATTGATTTGCCATGTTATTCACTGAAAAGGTTGGAAATCTCTTCTCTGTAAAGTCAAAAGAAATGTGTTTTTGCACACTGGTTGATTGATAGCGATATAATTTCAGGTGATTACATTTCGAAAATAAAGCCATTGTGTTTCGAGCAAAAACTTGTTAAATTTCAAGGAAAAAAGTCAAAACAATATAACAGTCGAATGTTTATTCTCAACATTTCATTTCGACTTTTTTCTCGCATTTGAACGAGTTTAATCTCGCATTATAATGACTTTAATCTCGAGATGGTTTTATTTTTTTTTATTTTTGCTCGGCCCTAATCCTCTTCCGTACCTTTGCGTTCCGCTGTAAGTAAATGAAAAAAGACAACATATACTGTGCGTTTGTGGTCTGCTCTCCCAATTTAATTTACGATATAATCCATGAATGATTCCCTGGAATGCACCAAGAATCTTTCATCTTTTCATCTTTTCATCCCCAAATCCTCATGTCTCTTTCCAGGTTTGTTTTCACACGGATGCTGTGAAATGTAATTGCCACGATATATAGACATATATTACTATAATGACATTTAACACATCCTTAATATTGCTGCGGATAGAAGGAGGATCTTTGGGAGTTACTCATGGTATGTTGAAAGTAATTTGTTAATGCTTTTACACTTTTAATGAAAATGCTTGTTATTGCATTCATAGAGCGAACCATTTGCTGATTGTTTACAGTCAGTGTAAACGGAAGTTACTCCCATAATTTGCGCAAAGCGTCATGGGGCGTAGGAAAAAAGTGGATAGTAGTTACATTTTCACAAAGGCATGCTAAAATCATTCATAAGAGCGCTAGACAAAGTAATCATCTATATAGCAATGGTTATTAATGAAAACTAAAACATTAATATGTATTGTTGCATGAATAATAAACAACCCCCCTAAACTATTGTATAACATATATTTGTGCTTCAACCGAGAGAGAGTCACACTCACACACCTGTACAATCTCCAGCATTTCCGCCTTGCTTATGTATCCGTTGCCGTCCAGATCGTACATACTGAAGGCCCACTTCAGCTTCTGGTCCAAACGGCCGCGTGACGTGACGCTCAGGGCGATGATGAACTCTCTGAAATCTATTGTTCCGTCTCCATTGGCGTCGAAGGTTCGGAAGACGTGCTCTGCAAACTTTGACGCGTCTCCATAGGGGAAGAAGTTGCCGTAGATCTTCTTGAATTCCTCCATGCTGAGCGCGCCGCTGGGACAGTCCCGCAGGAAGCCCTTGTACCACTCTTGGATCTCATGCTCAGTGAAGTCTGAGTTTTCCAACAGGTCCTGTATCACCTCGGGACGGAGCTTGCTGTTCTGCTTTCCCATGCTGATGGTGTGGTTTCAACTAGAGAAGAAGAGAAGAACTGTTAGTTAAGGGTCTCACAGTAAGTACAGTAAATAGCCTACTCTCGTTTGAACTCACCCTTAGTAAATATGAAATAGGTTTAACTTGATCACATTTAATGCAAGATTAAAAACAGCATTCATAGCAAAGAAACAACCTACACGCTCTTAAAAATTCATCAGTTCATTTGAGTTTCCCAAAAGAAGCTTTTGGTGAACAAAGAACCATTTTTTACTACTTTTACTACCATTTTTTACTTTCTACTAAGAAGTCAACATTTTAATAGTCTTAAGTACATTTTTCGAAGCCAAGTCCATATCTAGAAATCAAACGTTTTAAATTAGGCTACCTTACACATCCAAGATTGTGGGAACCCTGTTTCTTCAGAAAAAAATGGGTGTTGAGGTGGTGAAATAAAATAAGAACTATATGGATTTTTAGTTGCTCATTTTAGTACTTATTTTGTCTTAAGTCATCTTAAAGCTCGCTTATAAGTTTGCTAAGGCCCCCTAGTGGGCCCCGGTTTAGGACCCCTGACTGTAGAGGAAAGAAAATGGCAAAAGAGGTCTCGGTAACACTTTACTTAAAGCCTTTTATGTATAATGCATTATAAAAGTAGTTTTAATGCCTTGAAATGCACCTTATACTGCATTGTACACTCTCATGAACAACTGTAACCATAATTAAATTCTTTGTTACACTATGCATTTTAAATTTGGTTATACTTATTTACAAGAAGATATAATGTATAACAATGCACATTATGAATAATTATAATGCATTATAGCCTTAAATAACCCTTTATAATGCATTATACATAAAGGCTTTAAGTAAAGTGTTACTGAGATCTCTTTAAATATCTAAACTGTTTCTCCTAGACCTCTTAAGCTTAAATGGAGACTTTTTCTTAAATCTCCACTTCCTCAGATTTTTATCATAAGAAACCCCCCCCCCCCCCAGTAATCTCACATGTGAAAGAGATCTCAACATTCAGACTCAGAACTGATTTCAACAATCTTTGCTTTTCTCAGATTTGCCACGATACCACAGGCTGCCATTAAAACTCAAACAAACTTAAATATTTCTTAACATTTTGTTCCAAGATCAATGCTCTGATCCGATTCTGTCCACATACATTTTATAGCTCTATACAATGTCATTTCTTTGTAATCATTTTTGAAATGTACTAGCAACGAAAATAGTTTCAAAGTAAATCCTACATACATCCCACATAATCCTACAACATTTTTTTTGAGTGTACTGTCACTTTATATCAACAGCTTTCTCATTTGAGTCAGTTCCTTTTGAATTTTTTTGGAGACAATGACAACATTCTCGGTTAAGTCTCGTGAGCGCTTTAGTAAACATACACAATGCCTAAACCCTGACGGGATGAGTCCCTCGCTCTGAACATACTATTATGAATGCAAAGCACACACATCTGCCAAGTATCTAAAATTTCTGAACTTTCCATTGGTAGACCGCAGTGATGCTCTCACCTGCTGCAGTGTGTGTGTGTGTGTGTGTGTGTGCAGCTGCACCCAAATCATTTCCTGATGCAAATCTCTCATAAAATCCCACGTGCTTGCAGCCCTACACACATATGATCGTGAGAGCATATTTTAAGGTAATTCTATAAAATGGGTGTTTTCCTAATACAGCAAGGCGAAGCTGGAAAAAAAATCCCTATGATATTAAAAAAATACAAATAAAATAAAGTTGGATTTTTGTAGTTATATTCGGAACAATGTCTATTTTAACATATAAAAATTGTGTGTGTGTGTGTGTGTGTGTGTGCAGCTGCACCCAAATCATTTCCTGATGCAAATCTCTCATAAAATCCCACGTGCTTGCAGCCCTACACACATATGATCGTGAGAGCATATTTTAAGGTAATTCTATAAAATGGGTGTTTTCCTAATACAGCAAGGCGAAGCTGGAAAAAAATCCCTATGATATTAAAAAAATACAAATAAAATAAAGTTGGATTTTTGTAGTTGTATTCGGAACAATGTCTATTTTAACATATAAAAATTGCATTAAACATTCATAATAAAAGTAATTTTTATATGCATTATAAATATAGACACAAATGTTATAATGACTCTTTATTCTCATCCATATCCACTGAAAGTGAAGGGGGACAAAAAAATAACATTGGGGAGATTAAGAGATGGAGCAACTGAACCTCCTCTTGTAAACAAGAAGCAGCCCATCAGTTTGCCATTCACTGCTCCTCACATAGCGCATGTGTACATCCAGCTCCACGCTATTTATACAGCGTGCTTATTTATGTCTTATTTAACAAAATGATGTGAAAGAAGATAAAATATCAAAAAGAAATTAAAAAAAGATACATATATAAAAAAATCTTTAAAGTTCAGCTCACATTTCCGTTATGCGTGCCACATCTGTTTCTCTTTCACTGTCACATGTTATAATGACTCTTTATTCTCATCCATATCCACTGAAAGTGAAGGGGGACAAAAAAATAACATTGGGGAGATTAAGAGATGGAGCAACTGAACCTCCTCTTGTAAACAAGAAGCAGCCCATCAGTTTGCCATTCACTGCTCCTCACATAGCGCATGTGTACATCCAGCTCCACGCTATTTATACAGCGTGCTTATTTATGTCTTATTTAACAAAATGATGTGAAAGAAGATAAAATATTAAAAAGAAATTAAAAAAAGATACATATATAAAAAAATCTTTAAAGTTCAGCTCACATTTCCGTTATGCGTGCCACATCTGTTTCTCTTTCACTGTCAGTATGTGCTTGTAGGAAACTGTCAGTCAGAAACGGTGAAACTGCTTTGATGCTGGAATTAATTAGGGAAATAAAATTCAGCCAACTAGTTGTGAAGTTATTAATCATACCAGTCAGAAAGTATTCTTTCCACTTTTGGAAATGTACTGCATGTAAGAAAATATGTGACCCTGGAGCACAAAACCAGTCGTAAGGGTCACTTTTTCTAAATTGAGATTTATGCATCCTCTGAAAGCTGAATAAATAAGCTTTCCATTGATATATGGTCTGTTAGGATAGGACAATATTTGGCCGAGATACACTATTTGAAAATCTGAAATCTGAGGGTGGAAAAAAAAAATCTAAATATTGATAAAAATCCTTAGCAATGCATAGTACTAATCAAAAGTTAAGTTTTGATATATTTACGGTATGAAATTTACAAAATATCTTCATGGAACATGATCTTTACTTAATGTCCTAATGATTTTTGGCATTAAAGAAAAATGGATAATTTTGACCCATACAATATTGCTACAAATATACCTGTGTTATGACTGGTCCTGTGCTCCAGGGTCACATATGTAAATAATATAACTAAAAATAATGACCTTAGCTTGTCATTCATTTTGATTGGCCCCTTACATGATTAAACACTGCTGTTTCAAAGTTTGGTGTTCAGGCAGTTTTCTCCCATTCATACTTTTATTCAGTAAATAAGTAGCCTATTATTTAGATCAAACGTAACAGTAAAGACATTAATAATGTTACAAGACAATTCGATTTTAAATAAATGCTGTTCTTTTGAATGTTTTATAACTATATCAAAAAATCAGTATCATGGTTTCCACAAAAATATGAAGCAGCACAACTGTTCTAAACATTGATAATTTAATGTAATATAATGTTTTTTGAGCAGCAAATCAGTATATTAGAATGATTTCTGAAGGATCATGTGACACTGAAGACTGGAGTAATGCTGCTGAAAATTCAGCTTTGATCACAGAAATAAATTACATTTTAAAATATATTACAATAGAAAACAGTTATTTTTTAAATCATTTAAATTATAATAATATTGATTAAATAAATGCATCCTTCCCGAGCATAATATACTATTTTCAAAAAGAATAATAATAATAAAAAAACAATATAGAAAGAAAAAAAAGAAAAAGTAGTGTACAGTAGTGTATATTAAAAAACAACAACATTGAATTATATGGCCATGCATGGGAACCTAAATTGTATTGCTCAGATGTTGCTTTGTCAATGCTTGTTATTTTTCTAATTCATTGAAATAACAGTTTCTCTAAACAAAATGTCCTGTGTTCACCATCTAATAGTTTTTCTGCTAAAACATGGGCACACCATTAGACCATTTATTTTGAACACCTATAACTGTTCTCTGAACAATTGCTGTATTCTCCCATGATCCTCTGAGGCCTGATCAAGCCCAGTGCTCATCCTCATATGAACTAAAAAGCCCCTGCTGACCGCTGTATCCCCTCTCTATAAAACCAGCACCTTCACACACACACACACTTCCTCCACCCATCCAGTCTGAGCACCAAAGCACATCAGAGCAATTTGTCCACAGCAGACTTTTGTGCCGCCCCTGTGGATAAAAGCATTGCGATCAATCAGAGTTTAATTGCTTAATGGATATGCAGCATTTGTATTACGTTCCACCCATTGCCATGGTAACACAGTCTAATCTCACTGTTAGTGAAGCACAAAACAGTCGCATTTGAAGCGACTTTGTATTAAAAATGTGCCTTCAACAATAGGACTTATGGATGCATAAAAATGATAGGATGTTTCTTTTGGAAGAAAAATAAACAAAATACATTATCTGAAGTTAAAGTCACCACATTGCCTAAAGTTGAATGCTCATGTCAGGGTTTGGTCCAGAGACGTGTCTCTTGGTCTGACATCACTTCTGATCCTCCTCAGGACGCGCCGTGTTCTTGCGCCCCTGAGCTTAGCCTGTGTTTATAAAGCAGATCTCTGATGTTCTTGGACTCCAGGGTCAACAGCTCAAAGATCTCGGTCTCAAATTAACCTTAAGACTCTTAGAGCCTCCAATCGGCCTGCGGAGACGTCACGCTTATATAACGCCGGCCCACAGACACAGGTGGACACAAGACACTGATGTCCCGAGGACAGGTGACACGTCACACCCACCAAACAATCTGTTTTCATCAGCACAACTAGTTTAGAGAATAATACTTCTCAAGCAAGAATATCAAACAAGATGAGACTGGTTAAAAATAACCAGTTGAACTATATATATATATATATATATATATATATATATAAAAATAAAAATAAATACAACTAAACATACAACTAAAATAAAAAGACAAAACTAAAAATAAAAGGTAATTGAAAATATTAATAAATACTACTGCAGAAATAATACTAAAATAATACTTTCTGCCAGTGGGATAAAAAATAAATCATGATATACTATCCAAAAATATCACAGAATATACTATGCAGTCGTTTAAAGGAGTTATTTTACTGGACAAGACAAAAAAAAAAAGATTGATTATTGATTTATTTATTGATAAATAAATAAATAATGACTGGCTGAATGAATGATGGAAGTTTAAAGGATTAGGTTTACATGATGTTTAGCAATTTAACATTTTCAGAGAAAAGGAATCAAATGTTACAAGCTGAAATCAACCATCAATCAAAGATGAGCATCAGAGCTCAGCTATTTTCATTTTCACCTTTGATGCATTCAGCAACCAAACCAATGACTTGTGCATGTGACATGTTGACAGACTTCCAGAAGCATGAGCCATCAAAACGATATAAATTAATATTCTCACTCGAGCGGCCATACAAACGATGCAACAAGGCACAGGAAGGCGCAGGTCATGTGATACAAAAGTTGATACCTCCCCTCCATTTCCTCCACCCTTCAAAACCACAGAGGCCAAATGAAACCACAAGCTCCGAAACTGAACTATGACTGTGGAAATTGGCAGTGCTGCGTTCGTGAGGGGGGTACGCAATTAAAACTCATCAAATGCTCTCATAGTTTCCTTGTTCTTTCCCAGGCTCACCAAAATAAACATACAGCGCTGTGTAAGAACAGCATTTCTGTTATCACGGGCATATCTGGTGACATTAGTCAATGCGGAAATTTCCTTCACATCAGCAGACATCGACAGCGCTACATTTACACTGCTGTGTTCAATAAGTGTATGCTAAAATTACAATCAAGGGGAAAAATCAAGTCAGCATTAGCAGACCTTTGGTTGATGGCTAGCATGTGCAAAATGAAAATGAATCAGCATCAATGATTAATGTTTAGTTATGAATTTCATGTCTCTCACACATAGCTATTAACTGTACGCCAACCCTTGCTCTACTGTCGGTTTCTGTGGCTCATTGCTGGCAACTCTTCACCTCAATCTGCACTTGACATCTGTGCTATGCTATCACCAAACACATTACACATCAATATCAATTTATGTCTCATTTATAAACATTTAGTTTTTGGTTTCAACTGTGTTTCCAGTGTTAGGACATATGATTTCACAGGTTTTAAAAAGTACACTTAAGAATAACTTATGGAAATAATGAAATATTAGCATGAAACAATAAATAAATGATTAAAACCGTCTCTATAAATTTAGCTTTTGATCTTGTTTTAAGAGTTTATATATATATTTTTACTGGAAAATAATGAATTATAACTTTCCTTTAACTTCACATGTTTAATTTCCTTTAGCTAACTAGCTAACAAATCTGCTTTCCCTCACAATCTCTCTCTCTCTCTCTCTCTGTGTCTTTGTACCTGCAGGATTAACCCAAGGTTCTGCAGGGCTAATCTGAGGCAGTAGGGTATAAATATAGACTCATGTCTGTTATGTAAGGGCCACTAAATATCTTATACCAGGTATTGGTGATAAAGAATGCAGCAGGTATACTGTACACATTGGATTCCACTGGTAATGGAAAGTCAAAATCACAAATGTTTTGAGACATTCATTACAGACCGCCCAATAGTGCACATATGAAATAAAATATGCATTGTAAAATGAACCCTTTATTACGGAGCCCCGCACATGACATGCAAGAAAAAATAAATAAATTGTGCGCATGATTTACTAATTCGTTCCCTCAATGTACTAAATCGTGCACTCGATCACTATTTTGTTCCCTCGATTTGCTAATTTACAATTTAGTAATTCGTTCTCTCGATTTTTGAATCGTGTGCACGATTTAGCAAATCGAGGGAACGAAATAGTAAATCGTGCGCACGATTTAGCCTACAATTTTTTTCCTGCGTGCCATGTGCGGGGCTCTGTACTTTATAATTAAAAGTATAAAAGTTTTTAAAAATAAGCCGGAATTCTGCATGCATGTAGAAAGTCTGTGATTGTTATATGAGGATTTACAGGCCCAGGCTAAAATGGTGACCTTTTCTCTCGGTGTGACTTCTGCTGAGATCTTTGCCTTCACTAAATGGTTTCAAAACTAATGTATGGAACTTTAAATAAGAGAAACATGTCAGATTAACATTTGTGCAAGTATAAGCAGTCGAAAGCTAGAGGAAAGTGACGTCCTAAATGTTTCGCTTGTATGAGAAAAATTCAGTGAATGTACTTGAAAGTAGTTATAAATATCACACACTCTCGGCTGACAGTACTGAGGTCGTTGAAGGTCCATATTTCCTGTCTGAAGAAACAGCAACTCTATATTAATACCCAGACTTTTGACGTAAAGCATTTTTGTCTAGTTCAAATGTAAACGTCCAGCCATCAATCTAAAATTGTTAACTGCTTGTAAACTATCCTTGCTTGACCTCGACACAGTCCTCCATCCATCTGTGAGTACGGCATTGAACGTCATCGCCAGCCGCGCTCGACATTTCCTGCACATGCTCTTAGTGTAAATATTTGCAAAGCCCCTATTTTTGGAAACAAATTTTTTGTAGGGTTTACAGTTCGAAATCATGGTCAATTACAGCAATAGAGGCTTCACATGATGAACACAAACAGAAAATGCCTTTACATTACAGCCTCAATGCACACAAATTGAATGTAGAGGAACTCAAGTGTGAAATCACGATCGCTCGACACCACGGCTCATTACAAAGTGCCATTACCGTTCTCAGCTGCTGTCACTGTGAATGTACGTACTTGAGCTGAACATTACAGTAATAACTGTACACTCAGTATCATTAAAAATACACACAATCCTCATAAGATTCAATCCAAACACCGCCACATTCACATGCTCCATCATGCTCCACTGAGACTCAAACGTTCTCAGGATCTAATGAAGCATTTTATAAGTGAGACAAGTCACAGTACACGCTTTTACCACCTTTATACTGAAGCTGAAACTCAGAGATGTGGACGCTTCATATTGAACTCTTAAACAGAAGACATTAATGGACAGCATTGGTCATAACACTCTGTTCCCGATCACTGCAACCAGTCTACATGATTTAGACATCTAATACATAAATAATGTGTCCTTGATTTTTATTTTATTTTAAATTAATTTAATTTTGGTCAAAATCAAGCTAGCCTATAAAAAGAAGGTATAGATATATACAGTATACTTCAGATTTCCGTAATATGTCAAATAATATGTTGTTGGATTGTTAACATCAAGATATAATTATTATATTATATACACAAACAGAAATATAGATAGATAGTACGAAAACTCCTTTTTGGACCCTTTATTTTTAACAGTGTACGGTCTGATATGCCATGTCAACTACCCACAGACAGTTTGAATTGAATAGATTCCAAGGCAGCTTTTACAAAGAGTGTCCTACAAGCCAAATAGAGCCAAAGTTGACAATAGCAAGAAAAGCATTCACCTTCTGACCCACCTTGATGTAAATGATGCACTTCAGTTTCACCTGGACCTTGTGTAAGTCGCCAGCTTTCTCTCCTCTTCTCTTTCCTCTCTATATCAGCTCTGTATGTCGGCAGCTCTTCACAGGAAACTCTCTGAACAGACACTCCCCTCTCCCTTTCTACATTTCCTTCTCTATCTCTCTTTATTTCGCTCTACTAAACTCTCTCACAAAGCCGAGCGTCTCGGTTTCCACATCCCTGCAGACTGTCACATTTCTTTCCAAGCGCCCACTTGCGTCTTCTCAAAAACCCTCTCGGAAAAGTACATGTGCTTTCTGAACAGCCCATCAGATCTAAAACATTAACGTCACCGTGTAGCCTACATGCATGCCACAACAATGCGAAAGGGGGAAAAAGAGCACCTCAACAACTTCCTGCAACCTGAGATGTTAAGTGTTCTGAGAGCAAGTTTGCTTCTTAACCTGAGTTCCCAACTGACTTTATCTGATTCCTCTTCTGTTTTTCAGTGTACTAGTGACCAACCACTCTATAACGAGAATTAAGTCATTTAGAGCAAAAGGCTTATTTCCTCTTTCACACAAATCCATGTGACTTTGAAACAATAGAGTTGTTATAACGGCAGTGTGACTTTGCACATGCATTAAAAGGTAACACTTTAGTATAGGGACCAATTAGTGCTGGGCGGTATGACCAAAAATGTATATCACGGTATTTTTCAAAATTATACCGGTTTCACGGTACATGACAGTTTTTTTTTTTCATGCATGACCATGTATGTATTGCGGTATTTAAAAAATTCATATCATAACAAAAATAAACACCGGTATTCGGTATGAACCGGTATACCGCCCAGCACTAGGACCAATTCTCACTATTAACTTTAGCATGCCTATTGTTAACATATTGGCTGTTTATTAGTGCTTATAAAGCAAATATTCTGCATGACCATATTCTACATCACTAATCCTACCCAATATTTAAACTTAACAGCTACCGTACTATTAATAAGCAGCGAATTAGAAGTTTATTGAGGCAAGTCGTTAATGGTTTGTTAATAGCGAGAATTGGACATTAAAATAAAGTGTGATACATTAAAATGTTTGCACAGATATAATCTAAATTTTTGAGGGGTTTTAAATTAGAATTGATGAGCTTATGTTAGTCTACTTATTGTAGTGAACTCAAACTTAAAGCTGAAGGGTGATTCAAAAATGTGAAGAATGTTGTTCATGGACATTATTTGTCGACTACACTGTAAATACGTTTTTTTTTAGAGATTATTAGAGTATGTTTTACAAAGAAACAAACACTACTTCAGACATGAAAACTGCATGCAAATTCAATGTCGCTGGTCATTTCTTTGTAATTAATTGTATAATTTACAAGCAATTTCTGAGTGAAAATTGCTTCTAAGCCATTCTTTCCCCAGTGTATGTGTCCAAGCTATCTCTCTAAAAAAAACTGTAGTATATACTACTGTGTATATGGCACTTTAAAGTGCATGCAATGTAGCTCAGAACTCAGATCTGGTCTTGTTCAGGTGATCAGATGTTCCTCTTGTGAAATCAGGTACACTCTAAAAAATGCTGGGTTAAATATAACCCAACGCTGGGTTAAAAATAACCCAACGCTGGGTTAAAAAGGGACAAACCCAGCTATTGGGTTGTTTTGACCCAGCTATTGGGTTGTTTTGACCCAGTTATTGGGTTGTTTTGAACCCAACCGCTGGGTCAAAACAACACAATAATTGGGTTTGGCCCTATTGAACCCAACATTTTAGAGTGTAGTGTCCCTCCTCTAAGCCTTATGTTCCAGGATTTATCCAAAGCCAAATGGTCTGAAAGCCACTCGGGTCAGTCGCCTTCCAGCACTCTTGTCAGTTCCAGGTTGGATAAAGGAGGGATAAAACCGAACCTTCATTCTCCACACAGAGATCCTACCAATTCATATAGTTGCATCCTGTTCACGTTCAAGCAAACGCTTGCTTCCTTTCATCCAAACCTCACAGGATACCGAAAAACTGGACTGTCTCTTTTCAATTTCACGTCCACTGACAGTGCATCAGTGCACGGCCAGCATATACCAGACTTCACCTGCAAGAAAAAACAGCAAAACATGCACAAAAACGAGAGAACTCACCTTAGGTGGTTGTTCTGGTGCTGTGCCGTGAGACTTTAGATGGCCATAACCTGGAGAGCTCGGCAGGGAAGAGGCGTTGTGTGGCCTCAGTGCTGATATGCAGCCACAGGTATCAGGAGCAAGCTTTGATGCAACCGGCAGCTCCAACGAGAAGCTCCACAAGACTCACCCGCAGCTTAGTTCAGAGCACCAACCTGCCTCCCACAGTGACGTCAAAGCTGCTGGTCACATGACCTGCCTGAAAAGCCTATGAGAGCCACAGTTGCCCTGGCAACAAGAACTTGGCATTGACTCTTGCTGTCACTCCTCGAGTACTTCTTAAAAAGTCAGAAAATACAACTACACTGAAAAAATTATTCATTGAATTTACTACATTTTTTTTAAAGGCAAGTGGTTGCAATCTATTTATTTTAGATACATTTAAATAAACAAATTTAGTTGACTAACTTTACTTTTTTTTTTTTTAAATGGAGCTAAAATAAATTGTTTGCAACCACTTACCTTAAAACAATTTAGTATCATTTATTTTCAGTGTATATGTACAGTATTTATGCTTGTTTGAGATACACTTAAAAATGCTCAATATGCATAAATATGAAGATGTATAGAGCTATTTCATGCAGAAACACATGCACTTGTTTCATGTATGATATAGTGTGTGTGTTTGGTTTTCAAGAAACAACTTTCTTTTCTGCAAGGGCTTTGTTGTCATGATCACATTGTGATGCACAGGACAGGAGGAGAGGGTTAGCGTTAAGAGCAGACGTCCCTCACATTGGAGGCCATGCTTTACTTAAGCTGATTAAAGGGAAGTCAAAGCCTCCTCTCATTAGCCTTAAATGTACAGACACTTTTTAAGGCTACTTGCTGAGTCAGTCATCTGCATGGCACTCGAATTGCTCCCTCAATGCATTATAACAAAACACGGGTGCACATGCAAAATACAGGCTATAGCATCTCACGCAGACATCCACAGAGTGATTTGCATTCGCAATCTGTGAAACATAATATGACATAAAACTTGCATAACCAGCGCTGTTTGATCATATGCTGGTGCTGATATATGGAAGAGCGTTGTATTGCTCAGAGGATGCTCTTTAATAGCTCAGGAGACTTAATAATTGAGTTCTGTTGTTTCATTTAAGAATCAGCTTTGACTGATGTTTGAAATTATGAAGAATATAATGAGAAATAGTTGAGGTCATAATGAAATTGTTGCATGGCAGACTTTCTTGGCACAATGTTGAGGGTCTTTTTCATTAGGAGAAAAATCAGAGAAACGGGAGGCTTATTGTAAGCTAAAGTCTCCATTTGATCTCCATTGCATCTCTTTGCTGTCTAAGAGAAACAAATGAGAAACTAAAAAAAGATTTGATTTGTGATTTTTGCTTTTCTATGGGTTTGAATAAAGAATTTGACTTCATATCGAGCTCTTTGACTTTTGATTGCAGACTTTGGTGTCAAGACAAATCTGAGCCCCATTTGAGACCTTGTTGAGATCGGTTATGAAACTCTAGAGGAGACATACTGTATTACTGGGGTCTTTTTTTCAGGGGAAGAGTATGAGAAGCAGAAGACTTTGACAAGACAAAGAATTTGATGAGAAATATAGGAGGTCTCTTATTGCAGACTTTTGGTGTCTGTTGAGATCTCTTATGGACCTCTAGAGAGAATATGAGATTTCAGAGGTCTTTTCTCAGGAGTAAAAACCAAGAAGTGAAAGACTTGCACAATAATCTATTTGACTTTCATTACATCCAAAGGAGAACTGACTAAGGAGGATTAAGGAGATCTAATTTCTGTGAGAGTGGACAACCTAGTGGATTTTTTTTTTTAATGCTATAAGGTTACATTTGTGGTCATGGAAGAAATTGATAAAATCTTTGAGTTCACACTGAGATATCTGAATCAAACTCTAGAAAAGACAAGTAAAGTTAGGGGGGGGGGGGGGTTGGACAGAAGTAGACAGAAGTAGAAGGCTCTCAAGTAGATACATCTGAGATATTTTAGACATCTCATTTGTGATTTTTCTTTCATATGAGTAGATGGTTCTCCAGCTAACCGGATGATGCTTGCTGGATATAAACTGGCCTTGTCTATCCTGTAATGTTGGGGTTCTGAGCCGCAGCTCCATCAGCCGGTCCATGCACAGCCACGGGCTCTTATCTTTAGATAACGTCAGCTTTAGCATGGATAATGAGAGCTGTATGGGAGGGCATAGCTCTCAATGATTATCTGTTACCTAACCATCCGCTTACACACCACAGGGGGGGGGGGGGGGGTGTTGGACAGAAGTAGACAGAAGTAGAAGGCTCTCAAGTAGATACATCTGAGATATTTTAGACATCTCATTTGTGATTTTTCTTTCATATGAGTAGATGGTTCTCCAGCTAACCGGATGATGCTTGCTGGATATAAACTGGCCTTGTCTATCCTGTAATGTTGGGGTTCTGAGCCGCAGCTCCATCAGCCGGTCCATGCACAGCCACGGGCTCTTATCTTTAGATAACGTCAGCTTTAGCATGGATAATGAGAGCTGTATGGGAGGGCATAGCTCTCAATGATTATCTGTTACCTAACCATCCGCTTACACACCACAGGCATGCTCTGGAGGAGCTGCTATTTCAGTCAGAGGTGAAGAGTAGTCCAGGCTACTCTCCTGCTGTCATTGCTCTGTGTGTGTGTGTGTGTGTGTGTGCAGGTTTGTCCTTTACTCACTTTGCTCCAAAGACAAGGCTTTAGGGTTTATCCTGTGAACACATTGGAAGACTTCAGTTCATGTGAGTTTTACAATGTCAGCAAAAAGGTGATGGTGAGATGATTTCCTCTTAATTTCAAACTTATTAATATCACAATGAACTCAGAATGTGGTTTTCATTTACAGATGGTCAGCAGTTCCTAAATATTACATCTAGGCTACAAATAATAGCCTATAGTCTACAGTAAATAGAGTGCTGTAGGGATGGCGCAAAAGTCAGAGGGTTTTTTGAATGGGTTTTTGGTTAAATTTTTGTTTTTTTGGGTCTGCGGTGAACACAAGCTCAAGATATTTTCATGTTTTATTCTATGACACAAAATTCATCAGTAAAACCCCTTGTGATTTTTTAAAGCATTTACTTTTGAAAAAGGTGGTTGATGACAAGTGTCTAAAAGGACTTACAGAGGTTGTTGAGGACATTAAACATCTTTTACTGGGGAAAAAGCAAATGTTTTGGTCACAACCTGACCTTCTTCAGTGCCTAAATCAATTGGACTAAAATTGATAAAAATCCCATAAACTTACATTGGAAAAAAAGAGGTCTGAGCCTTACCAAGAAATGTGTAGCCTCTTTTAACCTGGACCACTAGAGTGCAACAGAAGTAAAAATCACAGTCATTTTCTCCATAGGTGAATTGGTAACCTGCTAATGATAACTTATAATATGTTAAAGACAGACATGTTGTGAGGTTGTTAATTGATGGTATATGCTTTTGTTGAAGCCTTCCATTTGCATTATTTCAACTTATTCTTAAAATAATCATGTTTAACACTGCTGAAAAACTGCCTTATGAGAGAAATATCCACCAGTCAGCGTATCAAAACAAGCAAATCACACTGTGTTGCGTGATTAAACTTTGTTTGGTTCCAAAAACTCTGTAACAAAGATCTCTATGGGACAAATACTCCTAAAAGCAAGGCCGCTGAAAAAGTGAGCAGACACTAATGCGCTCTGTATGAAACCATATGGCAACCAACCCACAAAAGAGCACTTGAGTAACTGCATGTCCTGGCTTATACACTCTTAAAAATAAAGGTGCTTCAAAAGGTTCTTCAAGATGCCATAGAAGAACCATTTTTGTTTCCACAAAGAACCGTTCAGTCAAAGGTTCTTTAAAGAACCATCTCTTTCTTATCTTTTTATAATCTGAAGAGCCTTCTTTCGCCACAAAAAAACCTTTTGTGAAACAGAAAGGTTCTTCAGATGTTAAGGTTCTTTATGGAACCATTTAGACAAAAAGGTTCTTCTATGGCATCGTGAAGCACCTTTATTTTTAAGAGTGTACTCACAACAATCTAGCATCGTGGTGGCAAATTTCGGTGAAAGCAAAACCCCACATTATCAGAAAATGTACAAATGAGGTTTCAAGATGTCTAATCACACCTCTAATGCCTCAAAATGTAATTCTCACAAATGCAGCTCTGTTCGTGATCACACTTTTGAGCAACATTTAGAAATAAGGTGATTCAGTAAAAAGAACAATGCCCTGCAGTCGAAGGTCACTGCTGCGTGCTGAGAGTTTAGGCTGATAGCCAGAGAGAGAGAGAGAGAGAGAGAGAGGGAGAGAGAGAGAATAAAGAAGTGCTCACAAGTGTGCAGGATTAGGTTGAGTGAGCTAAGTGATGCTTGCAGGTGTGTGTGTGTGTGTGTGTGTGTGTGAGAGAGAGAGCAGACAGGTGGAGCTATTAGAAACACATCTTGCCCTATGTGTGCACAGGTATAGGCTACTTCAAACCTTATAATATATAGTATTAATGACATAAAAGCCTCTTTTACATTTATAACGTGTTGTCTAACATGCTAAATCACATGTAATTATAATTTTACCAATAGCGTAATTAGATTTTTTCTTTTGAATAGACATAAAATGTATTTTAAATGTGTTAAAGTTTTAGTAGAATTTGTCTGTCTAGGGAAATAAAAAGGATAAAAAAATTAAGATTTTGAATGTAAATGTAATGAGTAATTTCGTAAAATTTTCCACAGCTGGATATCAAGCCACTCACAGTTTTCATAATTTCCACTCATTTCAACAACACATTGTGCACATGATATGATTTGAGAGTTTAGGCTGATAGACAGAGAGAGAGAGAGAGAGAGAGAGAGGGAGAGAGAGAGAATAAAGAAGTGCTCACAAGTGTGCAGGATTAGGTTGAGTGAGCTAAGTGATGCTTGCAGGTGTGTGTGTGTGTGTGTGTGTGTGTGAGAGAGAGAGCAGACAGGTGGAGCTATTAGAAACACATCTTGCCCTATGTGTGCACAGGTATAGGCTACTTCAAACCTTATAATATATAGTATTAATGACATAAAAGCCTCTTTTACATTTATAACGTGTTGTCTAACATGCTAAATCACATGTAATTATAATTTTACCAATAGCGTAATTAGATTTTTTCTTTTGAATAGACATAAAATGTATTTTAAAT